TAATTAGTAGCAGGATATCTTTCTTCATTAAGTTCAATCCACATGTTTTTTAAATCACAATGATCAAATATTGAAGAATTTTGTTCTTGATTTCCTTCTCTATTTGTTTGAAAACCAACAAGTATATATCTCGGTTTTTCAGGAGTTCTTACTCCTAATCTCCAGTCAAATGATGTATTTTGTGGAACATTCATTTTGTCTAAGTACCTCGATCTAAAACCTAGATCAAGTGTTTCTTGTGATTTAATTATTTTAGTAAGTTCTAAATCTGCTACAGCAGATGGAGTTACACGTCTCATCATTAATGATATTCTAGTAATATTTACTTTTCCTGCAGCTACACCGGCAGCTTTAAAAATTGCATTATCATCACTTGCTCTTAACAGAAAAAGTTCATGCTTTAATCCATAAAAAACTTTTTCATAGTCATCACAAAATCCAAAAATATGTCTTAATGGAATATTAAGTTCAAATGAACCTTTTGTAGTTGGTTTTTGAATGATATATTGCTGTCTTGCTGAAAATCCTGCATTATTAACTAAATCTGCAGTTGATGTAGTATCTTTAAACCACAATTGATTCATTGCTTTTGATTGTTGAAAGTCATTTGAATATTTCAACATTCCAAGCATTGTAGTTGCTTTACCTGGAAAATTAACTGATTCAACTACTGAATCATAGAACCTATATTCAATTCTATCAAATAAATGCATAAGTCCATTGTGTGTTAGTGTTATTGCATCTGCATTTGCATATGCACTTCCATCTGCTTTTACAAGTCTTCCTTCAATTTCTAAATAAGATTCATGTGGATGAAACAAAGAATCACTATTTTCAACATAAATTCTTATTTCTCCTGAATTTAAATTAGAATTAACAGATGGTGTAAATTCATATTCTTCATACTTTTTGATTTCTTCATCAAATCTTAATTTGTCAGTAATATTAAATATATCAGATTTTACCATTTTTATATATGCAATATAATTTTTTTAAATCATTTTAATGAAATCTAACTATTTTAATAAAATTATATTATTCTAAGCCCATCACCTTTATGCTTTTTAACTAAATCTTGTATTCTAACAGGTTTACTTTTTATTGATGATCCCATCATAATTTTATTAATGTCTGGTACTACTTCATGTACTTTACTATCTAAAGTATTAATTAAATTTTTAAGTTCTTGTTTATTTTCAGGTGTCAGCATGGATGATTTATTTACATTTTCTATTATTTTTTTACCTTTATTTATTACAATTTCTTTAGCAGTAGATATTGCAGAAGTTGCAAGTTCTTTCCCTGCAGACTTGGCTGCGTCTATAGCAGTTTTTCCTAAGTCTGTAGCAGCTGCTCTACTAGCTATAATACGAGATGAATTAAGTGCATTAATTAATGCTTGCTTATTAAACATATTTAAAAAAGGTGTAAATAATCCACTTCCACCTACTTCATACTTGTGTGTATATCCTTTATTATTTATAACTAACATTTTTATTTATTGTATATATTTTTTTTAAATCACTCTGTGATTCTTGCTTCGCTAATTCATTAGCATGAATCTGATAAACCAAAACTATTTTATTATTGGTCCATTTTTATTAAAATGATTAGTTAACATTGTTTTTATACCAGATAATGCTCTAAAAAAAATCAGAAGATTTTGCTTGATTATACATATTATTTATATCTGTAAGTACTCCACTTCCACCTACTACATACTTGTGTGTATATGCTTTTTTATTTATATCTAACATTTTTATATATGTAATATTTTTAGTTAGATCGCTTTTGCGATCCTTGCTTCGCTAATTCATTTAATGACTATGCTATCATCTTAATTGTTTTTTTTAAAAGTTCATTTTGTTCTTCTAAAAGAAATACTTGTTTTTCTAAAAGATGTTCTGATTTACATTTTGACACAATTTCTTTTATTTCATATTCAATACTTATCGGCTCTCCTTGTAAAGTAAGTATATGCCCATCTTGATCTATTATTGTTGTTTTCATATCCCAAATTTTTTTTGATAATAATCTATAATAAGTTGGATTATTTGGTACTTCTACAATTTTCCAACCAATTGGTGTAGATGGATAAAATGAATATATAACATTTGAATATGCTCCATCTATAATTGTGTCTGTTACAAGGCTATTTGTTACACGAATAGTATTAACATGATTTATATCCATTACTTTATCTGAAATATATACTTTTGATGAGTCAAATGTTATAAGTTTACCATCACGATCTCTATTATTAAAACCTAAACGATCTTTTATAGAGTCATCATCAAATTGTATTCTAATATTGCTACTTCTATTAATAATAATCTGTGATTTTTCAGTATTAAAATTTGCTTCAAGTATAATAGATGTAAGATCAAGTTTTATACTATCGTATACAGCTTTTTTTTTTAAAAAATTCAGCGTCTGAAACATTTTTAAAAGACTCTTTATATTTAGCAAGTTGATCTTTAAGAGTAGTCATTACATATCTAGTTACAATTGTATTTATATTTCTAAGTTTATAGGATCCTGTTGGGATCTTAATTTGTTGATAAATAGGATTATCACTAGCTTCTATAGTAATATTTATAGTATTGTTTACTCCTTCAATAACATTTGGAAAACTATTATAAGTCATTAATTTTTTTAGAGCTATTCCATACTCTTTATTTTCATCTAGTTCAATAGGAACTGACATATTAGTATTTATAACAGTATCGTTTGAAGTTATATGTATTGTTTTTGACATTTTTTATATATGTAATAATTTTTTATATCGTTTTCAATATAAAAAATTTATATTAGTTCTAAAAGAACTTACTTTTTTTAATATATATACTTTTTTGTTTTTATTTAAACTACTATATAGAATAGTTTGAAATCTATCAAGAGCCATTTCATACTCTTTATTTTCATCAAGTTTAATAATATCATCAAATTTAATTATAACTGGATTTTGTTTATCTTTTTCTATTTCAATATACATTTTTTATATATATTATTTTATTTAGATCAAAGAGACCTATCTCATTTTTTATATTATTAGTAATATAAAAAATAAATAATCTTTATCTTAATAATCTTCGTTTTCTAAATCATCTTCGCTTTCTAAATCATCATCTTTAATATAAAATCTTAATCTTTCTATCTTGTACTCTTTATTGTATACAACTGCATCTAATAATTTTACTTGAATAGATTGAATCATTGATCCGATATATACACCTTCAATTGCTAAGCATCCAACAATGTCACATCTTTTGTTAATAAGACTTTCTCCTAAAATATCACCTTCATTTTTTTTCCTGAATACTTGATCCATCTTTTTACTTTTAAAATCTATAGGTATTTTTGCATATAGAATTGGATGTGCTTTAGGGTTATCATCTTTGTACTTTAAAATATTCAAGTTTTGTATATTAAGGCTTTTCATACCACCTTTTTTTAACATTGATTCATTTTCAGTAACTTTATCTCTACAAAACTTTTCAATAGCTTCAATAATTGTAATAAATATATCATTTTCGCATACAAAAGGGATCGAATATCCTGTAAGTTCTTTTGTTTTTATATCTCTATTTTCATTAACTCCATATGAAAACGATTTTGGTGTTTTTACTCTTAAAGCCTCTGAACAATCTGAATAGTTGTAGCCAATAACTACTTTTTGATCTGGAACAGGTTTATTAATTTTTTTTATTTCTTTTACATATAAATTTGCTTCATCAAAATTTTCAATACTCACATACGACATCTTTTTTATATATAAAAGAAAATTATTTAACTCATTTTCAATAAAATTATTTTTTGAAAATTATTTTTAATTATAATGAATCTAAGCTTTGCTATACCACTTCGCTATATCTTCTTTTTAATCTTTTTATTTCTAATCTTACATCTAATACTAATTTTATATTGTCATCTAATCTTATTGCTTCTATTCTTTCATCTAACTCTTCTAACATTTCTATCTCTCTTAATATACTTACTTCTGACTCTTCTATCTTTCTTAATATCAATACTTCTAACTTTTCTATTATCTTTTTAGACTTTAGTTTATTTTTTTCTTTTTTATATTTTATATATTTTTTCAAATATTTCCATACTTTATAAATTTTCAAACTATCCAGCTCTTTTACATTTCTTTTTATTCTTTCTATTCTTTCTTCTTCATTCATTCTTTCTTTATCAACCACTAAATCTAATTTTATTAAATCTATTTTTTCCTTTATTTTTTTTGCTGAATTTTTTAAATATTTTATATCTTTGTCGTAAATTTCTAATTCTAATTTTTTATATCCATAAAATCCAAAATAATTTACCAATTTATTCATTCTTTCTTTATCAATCACTAATTCAGATCTTGAATTAAATCTTTCTTTCAAGTCTTCTAATACTTCATCTTCAAATTGTAATTTAAATTTTAATTCATCTATTCTTTTTTTATCAGTTTCTAAACATCCCAGGTAACACGACCAATTGGGAACCCATTGGGACCCAATCGGTATGGCAATTGGGACCCAATAGGTTATCCCATTGGGATCCCAACGGGTTTTGGCATTGGTTTCTAGATGGGAACCAATTGGGAAACCCAATGGGATTCACCGATTGGGACCCAGATGGATCCCTATCGGGTTTTTTTTCTTATAAACATGTATACTAAATTTGTTGTGTAATTTTTTTCGAGTGGAACGGGAAACTGTTAGGATTTTCAAATGGAGAGCGAGATCTCTTGTTTGTAAACTTATAATATAATATCAAGAAAAACGTTTAAGTAAATAAAATATTTTTCTTTCACTAAATAATAGTCCATAACAAATTTGACAATTATTATTTACAAATATAATATGACAGGTTAAAATTTTTTATTTTTATATAATATATAGGGTAAAAACTGTCAGGAAAAACACTAGAATTAGGATGATTGTAGCATTAGTTTTCTGCCACCTGTCTATCATAACCATTGCTGACCACGCTTTTAGTTCGTTTTCAAGGCTTTCTTGCAAGCAAATCTTTGTTGCAAAATTCTGTTTCGCAGTGACTAAAAACATAATGACAATAAACTAAATTAATAACCAGAAATATAAAAATAATATAATAGTATAGTATTTTCTTATATAAACTTTGTATTAAATAACATAACATAATAAAGTTAAGTGTTCTAATAATTTATAACTTTACACAACTGTTAAATTTTAATTGAAAAAAAAAATTACTTGCCAAAAATCTGAAACAGCGTCACCTTATTAAATCCATGTTTGCCACAGTGAATGAATGGAATGTCAAATAAGACCAGCAGGTAGTTGTTGTAAAGTAATTCCAGAAGCTCCATTCAGCTGTTTTTGCAGCAAAATTAACATTGCAGAATGTAAACTTTTTTTTTTTAAGTTTGTTTAATTTCTTCAACAATGCAAGTACTCAGGCTTCATAACAAGAATATTTTATGTGATTTGACCTAAAATCGTAAAAAAATGTTATAAGATATTGTTATAATAGCAATTATCTAGTAATTATTACTTCTCAATATAAAAACAGACTAAATGGATTTATTTTTTACCCATATTTTAAGATTGAGTGCCAACCCTGATACATACACATTAAGCCTTGTTTTAAGCATTAAGCGTAGAGCTATTTACGTAGGCGTAGAAAAAGTCGAATTTAAGCATTAAGTGTTTTTGGTTGAGCAATTTATTATTGATTTTAAATCTTCTTAAACTATTAATATAAAAAAAATTGCCTAACTGAAAATCGCTTAAGGTAAATAGCTCTACGCTTAACGTTTAAAACAAGGCTTAAAACAAGCACATTAAAACTTAATATGCATACAAATCTTTCTATTTTGAATTAATTTTATTAATTAATTAAAAAATGAAGCTGTTACCTAAATTACCAGAAGTACTGCAACAAGCCATATGTGTTGCAGAAGTTGTCAATATATCTAAATATATAAGTGATTACATAAATATAAGACATAAATATAAGACATGCATATCGAAATTTCACTGAAAGAGTTATCCTCCAACAAATTATTATCTAGCATTTTATTACCTTCAATTATTTCAAAAAACATCTTTATTCTAGTAATGAAAAATAGCAATGTTATTAACAAATTTATTCTTTTGAAGAGTCAATCATGGTCAAGTCATAGTCTTAACATCTGGATTATTGCCAAACCTGTATGGTCTATGAAAAATAAAAAAAACTAAACATTTTATGTTAATACAAGATAACCTAACCTGATCCTCTTTCTTTTTCCCTTCTTTCTGTCTATACTTGAAGAAAATCGTGCATCAATTGACTTGTGTCAAGCTTCTTATTAATTTTCTAAGAAAAGCATTATTAAATTTAATGAATTTAAAATGCTCATAGGTTCTCATTAAATTTAATTTGAAATTTGCAACATACTTATATCTGAATCATCAACCTTCTTAATATGTCATTTCATTGGGAGATACTCATTTATATCTTAATATAAGAAACAACATTCAATAAAAAATTGCGCTGAAAAATTAACAAAAAGAGTTTAGCTAAATTATTTACTTTATATAATAGTGAAACCAACTGTATATTTAACAACAACAACATTTTGTAACAACTATATTCTCAGTCACACAACGCACAAGCTCAAATTTATCAACTACGATTAAATGAAATTAATAACAGCATAAATAAATAAGATCACGAAATTTATAATAAGATAAACTGAGTTAATATTTTTACAAATAACACAATATATTTTGTTGTTGTCTTTTTTTGTAAAATTTATTTAAGATATCAAAAGATTTTACAATAAAAAAAAACTCAGGAGTAAATATTAAAATTTGAAAAATTTAATTAAATTTACACTAAATTACATTTAATTAAATTTACACTAAATTAATTATTTTTTTTAATTAAAACTAAATTCAATTTACACTAAATTACATTTAAGTTGGTTAATTAACCAAATTAAATGTAATTTAGTGTAAACTTATACATATATATATATATATATATATATATATATATATATATATATATATATATATATATACACGATCAAAAGTTTGGAACATTGTATAAAAAACACAATTTTTATTAAATTATTCAGTTATTTTATCAAAATATATTAGTAACCATGAAAATTTCCGAATATAATAACTTTGAAATACTAATAAATGTTTTATGAGTTTAATACTTGAATTTAATACTTGGTATGGTGTCCTTGAGCTTTCAAACAATTAGCTAGCCGTGTAGGCATAGAGTGAACGAGTTTTCTCAAATATTCAGGAGTCATTAATTGAGTCCATACCTGTCTAATTTTTTCTTGTAGATCATCAGAAGATGATGGTCTAAGTTTCTGGACTTCTATTTAAGATGATTCCAGCAGTTTTCAATGGGATTGAGGTCCGGTGAATTACCAGGCCAGGGGCTAATGACTTCAACTCCATTCTCAAGTAACCAACTGCTTACAAGCTTGGCCCTGTGACAGGGTGCTCCGTCATGCTGAAACTTGCGGGTATTTGTGATGTTCATGAATATTTTAAGTTTTTCTTGAAGTATTTCAAGATAACCATTTATTGTGGTGTTAGGAGGCATAAACCATAAACCACCACTTTGATTGGCTGTAATGGCACCCCATATCATGATTTTAGGGCAATGTTTTACAGTTGAAAGCAAATATTTGGGGTTGTATTGTTGGCAAGGCGGGCGTCTAATGCTTGTAGAACGACAACCAAATTGTTCGATTAATGATTTGTCGCTAAATATTACATCCTCCCAATCTTCCGCTGACCAGTCCTTGTATTTCTGACAGAAGGCAATACAATCTCTAATATTTTTTGGAGAAAGGCAAGTTTTTTTTGCTAGAACATGGCTCGTTAAATGAAATTGTTTGCACAAACGTCTTCTAATGGTCACAACACTTGGTGCAACACCAGTGGGGAATACCTCAGATGAAATTTCAGAAGCACTGGCAAACGGATATGCTTTTGCATAATGATTGATGCGATTATCTGCCCTTTGAGTAGTCACCTTTGGTCGTCCAGCTCTAGCTACTTTTAAAATTACCATTGTCATGATATCGCTTCAATGTTTTTATGATACAGCTATGGGTTACATTAAAACGTGAAGCAATAGAAGTCAGTGTCAATCCTTGTTCACGTAGAATAACAATCTGAGCACGTTTTTCGGTTGTTAATTCATTAGTTCTTCCTATAATTATTATTTTAATTTTTTTCTAAAATAACAACAAACTATGACTAAAATAAATTTAGTGGCTTATAACATAAATTACGCATGTATATAATACTAATACTCAAAATTTTCAATTAAAAAAAAAGATTTTTAGCAAGTATTTCAAATTTTCTGCAAATTTTTAAAATGTTCCAAACTTTTGATCGCGACTGTATATATATATATATATATATACATACATATATATATATATATATATATATATATATATATATATATATATATATATATATATATATATATATATATATATATATATATATATATATATATATATATATATATATATATATATAAAGAAAACGTTTTAGTTTGATAGTCTTTCAGTTAATACATAAAACAACAGAAACAAGTTATGCAATTGAATTATACAATTTATAAAATAAATAAATTTTTTTAAATAAATAAAGTTGAAGATGTTTCTTTTTTTATAAATATATTCATGTAAATATTAAAGTTTCAAAAAATTAATAAAGACTCTGTAATTAAATTGGTTGATGTTGATTTTCTTTTCGGCCATCTTTTCATCTATTATAAAATTATAATCATCGGTTACAGATTCATATTTGTAAATGTTTCACTAAAACTAGTCGCAACAGTAAAAGCTTCAATAACAATAGTTAAACTTCCATCGATATAAGTTAACTTCCATTTTCTTTTTCTTTAAGCAATTTATTGCTTAAAAAAGAAAAAATTTTATCAATATCCGACTGACAATACTGATTATAATCAATAATACTTGCAATACATATATTTTGTTCAATTTTCATTCATATCAAGTAAACTAAGTGAAGATGTAAATTAGCTACTTGGTAATGATGCAATTTTCCTCGTCATTTTTGGCTACATCAGTTTTTGTCATCAGCCATAATTTTAAAAACTTGAGATGCAATTTTTCTATATTTACTTCAACTGCAGGACATCTCTTAATTTAGATAAGTTGCGAAGAACAACGCTCGTCTTGTTGAATATTTTTATACATTTAACGCGTGCGCAACAGAAGTTTTTATTAGTAATAAATTGGTTTTACCGATTTGGACCCTGCTAGAACCCTCTGTAAAAACCCGTCTAAAACCCAACCCTGTTTCCCAATTAAAAACCGCACGGGTCCCGATTGATTGTGTTTGCTGGGATGTTAGTTTTTTTAATTCTTTATCATATTTTTCATATTCTAATACTTTATTATCTAATATTAAATATGACATTAATCCAAATTTATTTTCCATTCCACATTTTATCATTTCTTCTTTTAATATTTTATCACTATTAATATATCTGTTTTTAATTTTTCTAACTTTAATTCTAGTTCTAATTCTTCTAAACTATTCGTCAAGTCTAGTATTTTTTTTTCTTCTTCTTCTTTATCATATCTAAGTTTACGTACTTCTCTATAATAAGATATTTCTTCTTCAAAATAACCTTTATTCTCTCTTAATTCCTCAAGTCTATCTGTTTTTAATTTATATTCTAATTTTAATTCTTCTGTTATTTTATAAGAATTAATTAATTCGTCTCGCATATCGTTTTCCATTTCGTTTTCCATTCTTATATATATACAAGAAAATTATTTAACTCATTTCAATTTTTTTTATTTTCTTGTAGAAAATACAATTTTTTTCTTGTATCATTTGCTCGATCCAGAGGAGTTATAATGTGAAGTTGTTGTTGTTACAGTAGTATTTGTATTAGCATTACCAGAAGTAGCTGTTACGCATATATTCACATTTACATTTGAGTTGTTCATTTTTATATATGTAAGATAACTATTTAAACAGCTTTCAGTTCTGTATTATTAACCCATGAGTTAAAAGTATCAGGATATCCATACCACTTTACAAATGATTTATTACCTTGTTTACGAATAACCTTTTCAATTCTAAATATCTCTTGACTTGTTTTTTGAAGTTCTTGTTCATAAAAAGTACCTTGTATTTCTTCATTATTGTAATCAGTTATTTTATAAGTAGGTGGATCTGTGTATTGAATTTGTGATATAGTAAATACCTCTTCACTCCATCTTGGTGTATATCCTTTTTCAAATGTTGCTTTTATTTTAGTGATTCTCACTTTATCACCTATTGAAAACTTGGGCTTAATAGAATTAGATATCACTTTACTATTTAAATTCATCCAAACTTTATTCTCATTCTTTTTATCGCTTGCTTCAGCTGGAGTCATTTTAATTGAAGAATGTTTTGTGTTGTTGTATTGATCTACCATTTCATCTAAAACATCAATGTATTTTCTAGTAGAATTAGTTGAAAAGTATTTGAACATTTTTTCTTTCATTGTTCTATTCCATCGTTCAACTACACAGCTTTTTTCTTCATTTTCAGTTGAATAAAGCTGAATACCTAATGCTTTAACATGTTTATTATAAAATTCTAAACCCTTATCAACCCATAATTTATTGCATTTCCTATCTTTAAATATTTTATTAAATGCATTAGCAACTTCAATTCCTATCTTACTTTTCAATGGAATTATCCATCCATACTTTGAAAATATATCAATGACCATCAATAAGTATTTTATACCGTTATTAAATTTAGAATAAGCTTGCATGTCAACTAAATCAGCAGCCCATATATCATCTATTCCATTTGAAAGTACTTTTCTTTTTCTAAAATGTTTTATAACAGGTTTATGAAGTTCATTTGCAAGTTCATCAGTCCATTTCACGTCGTTTGCTTTTTTCCTGAGCGTTGGTAGTTTTTTTGACATAATTCTTTAATACTTATTGGTCCTTTATTTCCCATACCAAATCTTACTTTAGCAGATATGATAGGTTTTATAATCTTTCTTTCTAATTTTTCACGAGGTGTAGGATTAGGTATAGCATCCATTTGTTCAAGCATCATTTTATCAGCTAAGTTTCTATGCTTTTTGTCTGGATAATGCTATAAGCAAGATCATGAATATAAGCTGTTTTATCAACTCTATCTACAGGCATGCTCCATTCTTTAGGCATTTCAGTAGAAGTTAATCTTTCATCTAAATTAGTACCAGGTCCTGCAAAGTTCATATCTGGTATATGCATTTCACCTGGAAACTTTTGCAAAGGTAATTTTTTATTACTTGTGAATTTATTAATATATAATATTAATTCTACTAAATCCCCTCCTGTTTTTCCTTTTGTAAATTGACATTTTCTTGTTCCACATATTGAACAATTTCCGCATAGCATATTTCTATTGTTTTTACTTACAGCATGCTCTAAGTTGATTGTATCTGTTTTATTTTTACATTTAAGGCAGTACATTTTTTATATATGTATATTTATTTTAATTTATTTTACATAAATCTATTTTAATTTATTTTACATAAATCTATTTAAAAAATACTTTTCATAAATAAAAAATGGATATTATAGATTTATCATGGAATGTAAATAAAAGTAAACGTCATAATAATGAGTTATTACCTAAAAGTATAAGAGGGATTATTGTTGGAAAATCAGGTT